TCAGTTGTGGTGGTATTGTCCTTGATGGTAGATTCGCTTGTTGAGTTGGAGTCTTTCATGGTAGATTCATTTGTAGTTTTGTTGTCTTTAATGGTAGATTCAGTTAATGAGTTGTATTTGATGGTAGATGCATATGTAGTGGTGTTCCCTTTGATTCTAGATTTAGTTGCAGTGTTTTTGTATTTCGTGGTCTTTCTCTTTGGTATTTTTCTCTTTGATAATTTATCTTTTATGGTAGAGAAGGTGCTGCTCTCTTTTATGGTGGATTCGGTTACGGAGTTGATGTGCTTTATGGTATATTTAGTTGTAGTGTTCTTGTCTTTGATGGTAGATTCCGTTGATATGCTGTTGTTTTTTATCGCTGATTCATTTGAAGCGCTTTTTTCTCTGATGGTAAATCCAGTTGTAATGGTGTTCTCTTTGATGTGAAATGCAGTTGCGATGTCTTTGCCTTTGGCGGATTTTCTGCTCGATATTTTTCTCTTTGATGATTTGTTTTTGACTGTAGAGGGAGTGTTGCTATCTTCGGTGGTAGATTCCGTTTTAGTATTGTTGTCTTTGATGGCAGATCCATTTGGAGTGTTGTTGTCTTTGAGTATAGATTTAGTTGAAGAGTTGTTTTCTTTGATGGTAGTCTCAGTTACAGTGTTGTTCGATTTGTAGGTAGATTCAGTTGCAGACTTTTTCTCTGTTAAGGTTTTTCTCTTTGATCTTTTTCTCTTTGACGGTTTATCTGTCATGTTAGAGGGAGTGTCGATATGACATTCTTTTGGACCAATGTCGTCTTTGATTGTAGATTCAGGTAGAGTGCTCTTCTCTCTCATGGTCAATTCAGTTGAATTATTTTTCTCTTTGATGGTTTTTCTCTTTGATGTTTTTGTCTCTGATTGTTTACTTTCTGATGGTCCATCTCTGGTAGTGGAAGGAGTCTTGCTCCCTGTGATAGTAGCATTCGTTAGAACGTTGTTGCATTCTTTGGTATATTCTGTTGTAGTGTTCTTCTCTTTGATTATGGAATCAGTTAGAGTATAGTTCTTTCCAATGACAGAATCGGTCTGGTTGTTGTTCTCTTTAATGCTTAAAACAGTAGGAGAGCTGTTTGAATTGATGGTAATTCCAGGTGCAGTGTTGTTTTCTTTGTTTGAAGATTCAGTTGGAGTGTTGTTCGCTTCAATGATACATTCAACTTTTGCGTTCTCATCCCCGTTTAGCACCAGATTATCTTGCACGTCCTCATTGGTATTTATAACGTATGACAAAACAATGTAGGCCAAACTGCTGCATACTATTATTCTAAGACATGTACTCCTCCAGGTAGATTCACCACCCCAGTTCAGCAAAGGCTTGGAACTCTCTATCAAATGTGAAAAATCAACGACAAAGAAGATCAAAGAGAGCAATAGAGAGAACAATACCAGCAACATGGTGAAGAGGAAAGGGAATACAGAGTCATCTCTATTGCTCTTATGATTTGTGGTTGATTCCGTTTGAGTGGTGTTCTCTCCACTCGTAGGTTCACTTCTATTGCAGCTGTCCTCTCTGTGAGAATCAGTCGGCGTGTCTTTATCAATGTTACTAGATTCATTTGGGTCATTGTCCACTTTAGCGCTCAATCCGTTTTGATTGGACTCGCATTTATCTTGAGAATTGTCCTTTTTGTCAAGGAGCCTCTTATGCAGTAACTTGAGTCGCCGGATTCTCTCCATCAACAACTTTTCTTTTCGCTCTCTTATGACGTACTCCCTGGCTGAATGTACGAATCTTCCTATCCGCACCCGCCATTCACAAAGTGAAACAGGCATGTTGGTTTCGTCTAGGAATCAAGCCTCCGCTGAAGTGGTATTTCGTAACCTAATGGCAAGAAAAGAGATATAAAATACGAGTTAATCGTATCAATTGTTTTTAAATGAAGGAAAGAACATTGCAAGCCCTATTTCCCCCGCATGTTACCGACCATTTGAGTTTCGTTTATCCGATGAATGTATCAAATTGATAGCCCTACTAGAGCTTTGAATCAGATTAGAGTTGATTTAAAAAGAAATATGTTATATAATTCAGATTCTATTCATGATACTATACAGTGCGTCCCAGAAAAAACGAAACCGAGAAGTATCGATGTTTCATCATAATTTAATCACAACCATAATTATTGAATGATACATATTTGAAAAGCTTAGAGTCTCCTCTTTCAGTTAATGCTACTCACGTGATGCATATGTCACGCATGAGTGATTAAAAGCAATTTTAAGGAAGGAAACCAAAAAGTTATTTGGCGGGCGGTATCTGAATTTCAAAGAAAAATTCATATTTCTAGAAAGTTCATTTTCTGCCCTTTCATATGATACCTCAATCAAGAAAAATGAGCCAGGAATAACAAAGTTCTGTTTGTTTAAAGTAGCCCTTACATTTTCATAATTTTAACAAACGAATTCGTTTTCACTGGGTGCCTGCCGTAGCAAAAAGCAGATTTGAAAAAAGACTTAACTCTGTTTCGTTGACAATCAGCCATGCATGAAGACTCTCGTCTACGGCTGATTGTCAACGAAACGGAGTTAAGTCTTTTGTTGATTTCGTTTATTGATACGGCAGGCAGCCAGTGAAAACGAATTCGTTTAATAAAATTATGGAAATGCAAGCACTACTTTAAACAAACAGAACTTTGTAACTGAGTACCATCACTTAAAATCGGAGACTCTAAGCTTTCCAAATATGTATCATTCATTAATTATAGTTGTGATAAAATTATGATAGAACATCGATACTTCTCGGTTTCGTTTTTTCTGGGACGCACTGTATATATATATATATTTAACCTTACATGGTACATTAACAGGACATCTATATTTAACCCCAAATGGTACATTAACAGAACATCATAAAAACTGGAATATTACCCTAACCCTAACCCAAACCTAAATCCTAACCCTAACCCTTAATTCAAAACAATATAACTTATTAAACTAATGAATAATGAATATCTTTTTTTCTTTGGAGGCCTATAAGTTTTCTCTGCCTGCAAACGTACGTAGAGTGCAGTAATTATATTATTCAGTCGTTAACAGGGCATGGAAATGTCGTGCTAATGACCATGTCTACTTTTAGTCCGGTAGAAGTTTTTCAGACCCGGCATCTACATGGGTATAAGGAGGTAAACTCAGCTTGGATGCCATCTTGGCAACCTTGGTCAATTTTCTTTATGAGCCTAATTAGCATTATCTGGACTTGAGAAATGGTGGAAAGATGTCCCAGATAAATATGATGACAATCCCAACCAAAGGAAACCATGGATAGGAACGACAGTCTAAAGACTGAATAATCCTGGATCAAGTGAGTTACAAGTGAGTTATTATCATCAAATTAGCATATGTGCAATATGTAATATGTTGGTAATCTTAATCCGGGAAGCCTAAAAACATGGATAATACCACTTTTCAAGGGTTGTTTGAGACGAGCAATTCATTTATGACACCGGTTCTTATTTTTAGGTAATGCAATTGTTTTAAATAGCATATTTGGCATAATAAGCTAATTAGAATATGTACTAAGAGTCATTTTTATGATCTAAATTGCCTGAAAATGGTCCAATGCAACATTGTAAATCACTTTTGTAAAGACAACACATTAATTCACGAGAAGATATTCCATGTAGATGTTGAACAATTAGCCTAGTTAACATAATGAGTGAATTTGATTGTTTGCATTTATTGATATAGCCTATGTCTAGTTATATCTAGAACAATTTGGAATGACAATTTTAATGTGATTTTTTTTTAATGACAACCCATATTTATCTCAGAGGTTAATAACGTTGAACGAAAAATAATTAGCCTAACTAGCATAATTAACCTAATTGGTATATTAATCAGGCAATTGCCTAATGGCCTTGCACTTAGCTCCGTTTAGTCTCATTTGAGAACGCCCCCTTTGGGCAAAGTCCAGCAGTCTATAAACATGTTAACCTATGGACTTTTACCCCCAAAATCGTTAAAAATTCATTTTTCGTTTAAACGAAAAGCACATCCACCCCGACGTACGTTATCACTAGCTCTTTCATTGGAACCCTCATGTCTCATTGACTTTTGAAAGTTTACCCACCGTTATATCATCAAAATAGGTCGCAAGCTCGCCATTGCCTATATAACACATGCACAATAAGTCGAACTTTGGACTCAATTTACCACGCGATTGTAAGGTTATAAATCAAGCACACGAAGGATAAGAAGCATGAATTATCATAGATCAGTTCTGATTTGTTCATTATGTCCATTTCATCCATCCCCCCACCGTAATTTTTCCAATTAGTATAGGCAAGCATTTTGCCGAGGTAAGCAAAAACATGAATATTCATGAACACCATGGACTATTCGATTACTAACAGAGGGGTGCAATTGTGCACCACATCAAACTCCCCTACTTTTAGTCAAGTATTTTATTGCATTATGTAGTTTGGTAGGTTTATTTTACTAACTGTTTAAATATCAGATATCAATGATAGTTTTAAGATATGGAAAGGATTCTTGTATTTTATATTGAGCAAAGCAATTTCACATACAAAATCACTATCAAGTGTCGTCTGATCCGCCGATTGCCGTCTGCTATATACGCGAACTAGCCTACGTTTGTGCTGGCGAAAATGAGACAACCGGATCGGAGCAATATGTGGATTTCTGTAGCTGACAAAGGATGCGAGACTGAATAGATACATCTAACCATTGCTGTCCAACCAGCGTTTTGTTGGTCCTCAACGGCAATCGCAGGACATGGTCCAGATTTTTAAAAAAATGCCCCCCCCCCCCCACAAGGAAGAGTACTTGCACCATTGCTCTTTAACTTGTACACGAACGACCAACCGATCCATCCATCCATTTCCGGCCTTCCCAACCAAAGGATGTCCCATTGTGGTATGAGCACCTCCAGACCACTCCACATAAACGCTCCCTCTACCCACAAGGAATCCCTCGCGTCCGACTCTAGCGAGACTTGGCCTTTTTGCCTAAGCCTCAGCCGCCTAAGAAGTGGTTACCGACGATTCCTAATGCAGTGGTGGAGTTTTGAAGACTTCTAATGGAACACCTGCTAGTCTGACCAATCCTGCCAGAGCCATGCACACAAGATGACCTTGAAGCCATGAACTGCCGTGCCAGAGCCTGTGTGGAGCACTGGACGGAACTTGTGTAGTGACACGATAAGAAAAAAATGTGACATCTGCTTCCTCATGTCTATAGCTCCCATCATTCTGACTGGCAATGATTGTTCGCTCTTGATAGTCAAATGTTGAGAGGAGTGCAGAAAGTTGCCTCTTATTGTTCATACTATTCATGATCGCTTCTCTCTTAAATCTGTCCCCAATACTTAAACTCAAAGAGGAAAACCTTCAGTGGCTAAGCAATGGCCTCGCTACTGTGAGCCCCCAGGATCAAAATCGTGTCGATGTGCTATTAGTGCCCTTTTATGAGGCATTAATCTTCATTACTGTCAGTTATGACTTAAGGACGTAGGTCCCCTATAGTTGATTAGCATAGTATCATACACATGCTTTAAAAATCACGCGAAACAAACAAACACACACAAATTATTATTCAATAAAATCTGAGAATGTATACTATTATCTAGATCTCTGGATAAATTATTGTCAAATTCATTCCATAAATTGGGGTAAAAATAATTATTCCACCATTATGACCAACAGTGTATTGGCCACCATAACCATCTTCCAGTCGACCCAAACCATTTCTCATTATCTTTAATAACTTACTGGCCTCGGTCATGACTGTTTTTCTGCTCTTATCACTGTTACAGTGGGAAATTAAAAACAAATACCTATGTATTCTTGTCAGACAGAAATTCATAAGACTATTAGGCAATTGCCTGATTAATATGCCAATTAGGTTAATTATGCTAGTGAGGCTAATTATTTTTCGTTCAAAGTGATTAACCTCTGAGATAAATATGGGTTGTCATTAAAAAAAAATCACATTAAAATTGTCATTCCAAATTTTTCTGGACACTAGACCTATTTCAATTAATGCAAATATGCAAATTAACTCATTATGTTAACTAGGCTAATTGTTCTACATCTACATGGATTATTTTCTCGTGAATTATTGTGTTGTCTTTAAAAAAAAAAGATTTACAATGTTGCATTGCACCATTTTTAGGCTATTTAGATCATAAGAATGAAATCCATAAGTACATATTCTAATTAGCTTATCAGGCTAATTATTATGCTATTTAAAGATAATATGTCCCTTTTGCAGCCAACATCAAATTCTGTAAAACTTTGCAAGAATTATGAATATGTCATGTATGTCCTATCTGTGAAACTTAAACGCTAGCAGTGCTCTAATATTCAAATTATGCAAGGGAACCTGTTTACTTGCCAGACTTCACTGTCAGACACTATTGAGTGACTGACTGGCTTTTCTTCTTCTTTGGTAATAACATACATAAAATGAGCTGTAAAGGGTACATGAGCATTTGTCTACATCAATTACCCACTTCTAATGGCCAAAATTAAACTGATTGAATCTTTGCGCAGTCTAAAACGTACGCCCATTCGGTACAATGGTCTGAAAATCAGACTATTATTTACTGGCTCTATAGCTCCGAAGTCGATTCGACAACTAATAGTCGTTATTTTCCCACTTAAAGACATTTTCTTGTTGGTGCCAACCTCGCTCCTCCCTTTTTAAAGGCGATCTGCTGCCCCTCCCTACTTTGCCAGTTATTTTGTGTGCCAAAGATAAAAGAAAACAAAATATATAATTTCTCAGGTCAAGCATATACTCAGTTGAATATACTGATGGAAAGGAGTGTCAATATAAAAATATGTCTTTCTTTCGCTCTCTTTTTCCTAACCTATTATTTTCCCCCTCCTATTATATATGTTCGCATCAGTATATCCCTCTTTCATTTCCATTATTCTCAAACAGATAACTTTCCTTTCAATCATATCATTGCATCAACTGTTTCGTTTATCCTTTACTTTTCCCTCTCTCTCCCTCCCCCTCTTTCTCTCTCTCTCTCTCTCCCTCTCTCTCTCTCTTTATCTTTCCCTCTCTTCGATTATTTCCTCTGTACATTTATCCTTCTTTCAACATTTCTTTGATATCACGTGCATAATTATGTATAGTGATGCATGTTCTTCTAGACTCTATTTGTTCTGTACATTCTAATTCTATTGTTAAAATTTTGTATAATTTATGCTAAATAATTCTAGTTGTAAACCGCCCCTTCATCCGGTGCTGCTGCTCAGTTTTATACACAATATATATTTATGAATAAATCAATAAAAGAGGATAAATACTTATCATCATTATTATTATTACTTTCAGCTAATACAAGTCAACTCTTTATTGTAACAGTCTCTTTCTATGACTTTTAAATACAAATAATCATTTTTCTAAAACATGAATCAGTAAATGAACTACTCACGGTTTGTGTATATCAGTAGGCCTTTAAATGCAGATCAATGGCGTCATTCACTGCCTTTAGTTTAGAGGAACGACGAGTTGTTTCAATGTAATACTAATTGAGGAATAATTAACTATAAACTACCGGTGAACAAGTCTGACGATAAAGTCTGTAATGGCAGTCCGTGTAGAAGAATCCCTGCTTAACAAAAACGTGCTTGCAGCTTAATTCGATGTAAACTGGGAGAATGATGAGCCTAATTATTTAAACATGAGTCTCCTGAAACAATTCCAGTCTTTTGAAACTATTCAAGTCATTTTTGACAGTTTGGATTCGTTTGCATTTGAATCATCTAATGTGCTCAGTTAGCCTGCTTTGTATAAGAGTAAAGTCAAAAAGTAAACTCAGAAGTCGGTACCCAGCTCCAAGCAGACCAATATATAGCAGTCCACGAAGAAGAAATAACATGCAGCGTCAGCAAATCCAACAGAACGGGATCAAGTCTAAGTTTGTGACTGGTTTAACTTTTGCACGTGATGGTGATGTCATAAATCTCGTAACCCAGACTCTGTGCGTGCGTGTGTCTGTGTCTGGAGGGGGTGGTAATGTATGTTGACAGCCCAGTATAGGTAGACAAATGGGAATTTGGAAGATCATTCCCACTGGAATTTCAAACACCTTTTAAGGGCGGGGAGGAGGGGGTCACTGGTCCACAGAGGCATCCCTCCTCATTCGGAGTTTCTTCTGAATAAGAGTGAGTAAGAGATAGATAGAGCGAGGGGGGAAGAATTTGGTGAGTGAGTGAGTTTGTGTGAGAGAGAGAAAGAGATTGATTGGTGAGGTGCGCGCGCACGAGAAATAGAGACAGAGAGAAAGAGAGAGAGAGAGAGAGAAGGGAAGAGCCAATTGAGTGGATGTGTGTTTGTTCCGCGCGTGATTAAACTATTGATGGCCAAGCAACCTAAACACACCAATACAACGTTTATTGGACGAATTTCCTTTGTGAGACGTCCAACAAAGATTTTCGCTTGAAAATTGTCAGACATGATACCTACCGTATTTGGTACACGCATGCGCAGTAAGAGAAGTGTCCCACATCGGTACGCTTCGTCGGATTGTCTACGTTAATGCGATATTTTGCGATTACGATACAGCGCCAGCTTGTGCCCACATTTGTAACAGGTCTCCAATAATTGTCCAAACCTGAAAATACCTATTAATATTCACACACACTGACACACTCACGAGGGACGATCTGTGTGAAATAACTATCTTAATCAACTCTTGTTGGACACAAAATGAAAACGGGGTAGTGTTCAACAAGGGTCGGCAAAAAAAAGGCCCACAATAGTATTCCATACGCGTATGTGTGTGTGTGTATGTTGATGAAGTACAGAATGTACGTGACAGAGATTAAGTGAATGTGTGTTTTCTTAATTTAAGAAAGAGAGAGGCAGACAAAATAGTATGTGGGTTCGTGTGGAGGTGCATGTGTTTGTGAGAGAGGGCGGAATTCTAAGACAAAACAAAAATAAAACGCAAAAGAACAGTACATTTGGGGGAAGATGTGGTCAGACAGACTACTACTAAGCTTGGAATGATGACAATTATTCGAAAAGTAATTATTAGAAAATGTTCTCCTAATAATTGGGCTTAAACAGTCGCAGTAAACACAACATGCACATAAATCTGGACAGCGCCATCTAGCGCTGATGGGTTAAATATGAAGATTTTCTTTTATCTATCATAAAGCGATCGGATTTGTAGATGAATAAACAAAAAGACAGAGTGAACAATTCATGAAAGTCGAACAATGATGCTACAGTACCCCCTATTAAACACAAAATAATGGTTTTAACCCATTTTTATGAGGTGAGACAAAGTGGTCTCGTGGACAGGCGAGCGCCTAGTAATTCGAAGGTATCGGGTTCGATACCCAGCTAGTCCCATTTTTAAAATCTTGAAACAAACAAACTGATGTTTAGTTAACAACTAGAAGCGAACCAGGTAATGGCAGTGAGGTAAAGTGGTCTCGTGGATAAGACTGATCGCTTCATAATGCAAATGTACTTGGTTCGATTCCCAGCTACCCCTATGTATACCCCGTATGTTATTTTTTATCATTTTGTTCTTCACCCCATGAAATTGACTTGTTTATCTCTCTTTTCTTAAGGGGGCACCCCCTCCCCCCCCCCACACACACACACCTCTTCAACAAAGGGGAAATTGACATGTCTTGTGATACTTTTCTGTATTTAGAATACTTCATTTGATACATATACAACAATAAGTATTAACAAGAACCCTCCCCCCTCTCAATCTCTCTGTCTCTCCATCCACCTCTCTCTATCTCTCTTCCTTATATATATTTTGTACAACCCCTAGATGGAAAATATCTATTCCGTCATCAATAAAGAAGAAAATGAAGGCTTACTGTCCAGAGCAAGTGGGAGGGAAGATCACGAGATACGTCAAAGATTTGCTTATTTGTGTTTGTTGTTTGGCCAAATAATGCAGCAAGAACAGTGACAATTACTATGAGTTGTTTGGCATCATTGGAATGACACTGAGTGAATTTATTTAAAAAGAAAAGTTCTCAAGTACAAACAAACATATTTAGTCAATGCAAAGTGTTACACAGCTCATTAAAGTTACACAGCGCATTCAAGTCACGTTTGTCATAACACAAAATAATACCTCCATCATATTTTTCAAGCGCTATGTATATGGGACGAACTCATTTTTTTTTACCATTGTCATGATATATAATAGAACACACTCATTAAAATCAATCACAATAACAATACCTATGACAGATCTATGAATAAAGATATGAACTATTGCTTTTCGATTTTGATATCTTTTTTTAACATTGTCATGACATAATACTTCCTCTTATATGAATACATCAATTATTACTATTGATTTTTACATTGTTATATTTTTGTAACATCGTCATGTACAATTTCCAATTCCTATTACCGATCTATGAATAAAGATATCAGCTATGTACATGTATTGAGTTTTTAGATTGCTATATATCTGTTGAACATTGTCGTGTACAATGTCGAATCACATGCCAAACTAGTTTGTACAAAACAAATTGAGATATGATACAAAATGCTATTCGTTAAAATGTTAGTGTGTTATATTTTTGTCAATGCTGATAACCTTCAATGCCGGTGTGCTGCCATTGTAAATTTATCTCATTTCGGCTCTGCCGCAGTACATGTGTTAATCAATGATCCATTTCTTTTATCTATCTATCTATATACGACCAAATTTGCCTTGGTGGCCAACGCTCTTTAAAGGCCACATGTGGATAGTGGTCATATATTTAGTGTCCCTCGAGAAAGAAATGTTTGTTGTAAAAAGAAACATGTCTAGAGTGGTCGACTGGCTACAAAGACCACAATTCATGTGTCCCAAGGGTTACCTTGATGATTGTCAGGTTGACTGGAAGTATGTACACGTATACATGTAAATCTTTCTATCTTTCTAGTAACTGCATGGTCTGATGGCAATCGTTGACATTAATTTTTAAGATACATGTATAATATTAAACAAACGCTTGCAGACTTTTGGTTGGTAATTATAAAGCACTTTATAAATCTAGCTAACAAAAGTTGGGATAAATATAACACTTTATTGTTCGTTGTCCAACTTTTACAAAGTTTCACCGGTCTACTTTTAACCCTTTTCCCGTTATCAAATTATATTCACTCCTTATATTAATGCTCCGTACACAAACAAATTATATATACAGTGTACATGATTTGTAATGCGCCAAAAACACTAATACACTTGAAATTCAATTACTCATGGCATACATAAAACATTTACCTTATCAAAGGCAAATAATACCTTGCAACCATCATGGTACAGATAAATGAAAAATACAAAATAATAATGGACAATTAAAGAATGTTTGGAATAGGTGAATGAAATGTTTCATCTCTAAGTTAAAAGTGAACAGGCATTTTTCTATTAGCTGTAAAAATGGTATTGACAATATTGATAATACAGGTAGTATAGTAACTTTTGCAAAGCGCTTGATACACATATTACTAAGCGCTTTAATGCATAAGCTGTAAAACGGTATCACATTATAGTATGTATAAAGAGATTATTGTTCCAAGCACTGTACAATATTATCATTGCCCACCTTTAGCGGGGCTAGTAAACGTTATAATAAAAATATGACATTCAGAATTCTCCATACCAGCTGTAAACATTTCCTACACCTGGGTGTAGATAGGCACGTATATATTAATGTCGTGCGAGATGATTTTCGTGCAATGGCCCAAAAACAAAAACGCAAATAGGCCCATAGCCTAAAGCGAATATTAAACATTACATGTACTGCATTTCATATTCAGCTAATATGATATTAACATCTGTCCATCCATTTACAAATAAAAAGTGACATAGAATATAACCAATATACATGTATACACAAAAATGATGTACACAAAATGCATAGATCCTAGAGGTAATACTGTTAAGATGAATGCGGCATTATTGTATTTCAAAAGAAAGCAATATATCATAAGAACTATAAAATTTTAGATTAACAGCAAAATAATCAAAATATACGCCAATAGAAAAAAAACACCTGATGACTTGTAATGCATAATTGAAACAGTTACGTACTTGTAAGTATTTGCATAGTAAATTAGGATTGCACTTATATGTAACAGCTGTTTTGAGGTAGAATGGCAAGAAATCAAATTAGGGAATACTAGTAAAATTCAATTAAAATTGAATATTCCATCAGTGTAAAATAAATTCTCGCTACCGCCATATCAATCTCTGGATGTTATTTACTAATGCTATTGCATTTCATCCTAAGGATCCTAAGGTTAGGTAGGTTTACGATCCGTCTTTGCTTGTCGTTTCCCAGGATGTTGTTCCTGGCTCTCATCAACTCTATCACCATCATCATCCTCGTCGTCGCTGTGAATACATTTGCTATGTTTTATTGAGAGAGAAAAAGAGAGGGAGAGAGAGAGAGAGAGAAAGGCAGAGAGAGATAGACAGAAACAGAACAGATAGAGAGACAGAGAGAGAGAGAGAAAGGGGGCATGGAGAGATTGAGAAAGATTAGAAACGAGAGAGAGAGAGAGAGAGAGAGTGAGAGAGAGAGAGAGAGATGACATTTAGATAATAGTTTTTGAGAGTTGGAAACATTTTAAATAAAGAGTGCAGGGATTGGATAGGGGATGAGAGGTGCTTAAAAAGCCCGATCGAGAGGGGTAAAACTTGGATGTGAACATGGTTTTCTAATATTTTAAGATTTTGACCTTTTAATTTTGCATACTCTACATCCATGGCGAGCTGATATCTAAAGGAAATCTGATGACTTTTAAACATGGCATACTTTCATCGAATGCCATTTGAAAGCAATAGAAATCATCACCTTAACACAATAGGGGAGTGTAAAGAAGGCGTAAAAGTGTGTTAATGTATTTACAGTTATTGCCGTTCTGGCTCCAAACGGACAATAATAAAGTTAAAAGAAATGTAAAAAAAGCAATATAAAGAGATGAAGGGAGAAAGGGAAAGAGCGGGAGAGTAAGAGAGAAGGACAAGATGAGCGAGAAAGGTATGGGGACATATAGGATGAGAATGAGGGAGAGAAAGAGAGAGGGAGAGAGAGTGGGGTAGGATGACAGTAGGACAGGATGAGAGAGAGAGAGAGATATGGGGATATTTAGGATGAGTTGGGGAGATGAGAGAAAGAGAAAAAGTAATTTTATATTATGTTACTTACCGATGTCCAGGAATTTGTTCACCCTCAACTGACGCTGCATTAAAAATGAGTGAAACAAAATTGGTACGATATCCAGTTGTTAAAGAACTTCAAATGGCGAATATAAAAATGAATTATAGTAAAGCTTTGAAAATAACAATTTTTTTTAATTTGAAAAGTACTTCACAATCGTGTATACAAGTATGATTAGCAAGGGTGCTATGTTTTTTATGTTGACTCACTTTACAATACGATATTGTGCTTCCTTTGTTAGTGTTTGGGACATTTCTAATACTTTATTTAAATATGACCATGCTATGATTCCTATTTCGTTAACCCAAAGAAAAATATGTAACTTATCACCAGGTCTTACCATCCCTTATTTTTGTCATCAATCTTTATTGATATATTACTTGGGCCTATAAGAAGAGAACCTGTCTTACCTCTTTCAAATGATACCATAAAACATACATGTACTTCTTTCCTCAGTAATATAATGTGATTTTGCTGTGCATGCCGTAATATTGAAAGCTTTGTGGTACTTTCTAAATGTATCTATCTATCGCTCTTCAATAATCAATATTATCAATAGTGTGATGTACAAACCTGCACCCACTGCATCCACAGCACCGACTGCAACCACTGCAACCACTGGTTGAAGGCATATCACAACCAAAAGTGGTAAAAGGCATATCATAACCACTGGTTGAAGGCATATCAGGTTCACTGGTTGAAGGCATATCAGGTTCACTGGTTGAAGGCATATCAGGAACACTGGTTGAAGGCATATCAGGATCACTGGTTAAAGGCATATCAGGACCACTGGTTGAAGGCATATCAGGACCACTGGTTGAAGGCATACCAGGACCACTGGTTGAAGACATATCAGGACCACTGGTTGAAGGCATATCAGGACCACTGCTTGCAGGCATACCAGGACCACTGGTTGAAGGCATACCACAACCACTGCTTGAAGGCATACCAGGACCACTGGTTGAAGACATATCAGAACCACTAGTTGAAGGCATATCACAACCACTGGTTGAAGGCATATCAGGACCACTGGTTGAAGGCATATCAGGACCACTGGTTGAAGGCGTATCACATTCCCTTGTAGTCCAGTAATTCTCTAGCATCCCGGTATGCTTCTTTTCCCTGAAGTAAGGACTCTGACATTACAACCGTACAAAGAGTTTAGAGAACAAAGGAAATAAATAAAATGTAATTACCCGCAAAAATGAGGGGGAAAGAGAGAAGTAATTGGTCACATTATGGAATCGGCCAACCTCGTCCATTTTACCATTAAATGCAATCATTTTTTTTAACCCCATATTTTTCCCCGTTATACAAGGAAATAAATAAACAAGTGTACATGTACAGCTGGTTTCTTTTGGATATCGCAGAGCACGGTCTCTAAAATCCTTAAATTCAATCTCCAGGGCGACCATGATTGATGAGCGCACAAGATGATCGCCGGTTGCTTACTCTGTGCCATCAGAACAGGATAATCCTAACAAGTCGTCTTCATCGCCTCTGGAGAAGACCCCATGGAATCCCCCCTGTCGAATGGCAAGACAAATGACCAAGTGCCCACGCCTGACCGTTAGACACGGAGTTGCCCGACTTCAATGGGCTAAGGAGCACAGACGACTACAGCTAGGAGTCACTGGCGACATGCCATCTTCATGGATGACAGCCGCTATGTCCTTGAGAGTACAGATGGAAGGCGATGGGTGCGTCGACCTGAAGAGAACCTCAGAGATGCCTGCGTTTAGGAAACGACTCAAGGTGGTGGCGGTCCGTGATGGTATGGGCCGGAATCCACTATGACGGAAAAATGCCACTGGTAGTTCCGGATGGAAACGTCAACGCCGTCGTGTACCAGGACATCCTGGAGAACTACTGCCTCCCATTCGCAAGAAGGGTCAATGGAAATAATTTCCTGCTGCATAATAACAACTGCGGCTAGGCCACACAGAGCAGCTGAAGTGAGAACATTTCTTGACGCCGAGGGGGTACAGCAGTTGCCATGGCATGCCTATTCCCCTGATATAAACCCTATTGAACATGCCTAGGAAGTACTCGGTTGAGCCATCAACTCCACAACAGTTAGCTCAGGCTCTGACCGACGAGTGGAACGCTCTGGCCATTGACAGCATCGACAAGCTCGTTGACATAATGACAGTCTAGAATATGACACTAACATAATAATAATAATCATGAAATTAACATTAGATCGAATTGTGTTTAATTTCACTAAAAATGGGTTTCCTGATCCTATTTCAAATGAATGAGAGTAATTGTTTATTTGTGTTTGTATTTATCACATAAATTCATTAACGTGGTACAGGAATAATTTGTTTTTACAATACAGCATAATTTGTTACAAATATTTAAAGAAAAGTGTAATGAATCGACAAACATTTACCCTCCATATATAGATAATGTTTTAACTCCCCCCCCCCCCAAAAAAAAAAAAAAAAATCGGGGATGGATATAGGAACTGTGATTGCATTGACACCATGGTCAATACAGGTTGATTTAAATATAAAACTATCAGTCAGATGACGGCAATAACACCTTTCAATGATTTTAAAAAAAATACTAACTGCCAGAATTAGATTTATTTCGTTTTCTCGTAAATTGTGGTACAAAGTAATTTACATTTTCGTTATTCATCATTCCAGGCAGCTGTTTGACCAAAAGTGTATATTTCCATGTAAAACGTCAAAACACATTGTAAATCACCTTTGAGGATGAAGCCAGGCGAGCAATTTGATGGTAGAAATCGTCATCGAAGTAAATATCACTGTCAGACTCCTTTATAGTCAGGTCGGTGAGACAAGGCAGACGACATAGAAACTTCGCTAGGTCACGTGATGCTGTTGGGTCATTCCCATATAGATGCAAACCACCAATACACAACTTCTCTATCTGTGGAGTTGTAATTCATATAAGGTAAATTCAAGTATTAAATAATCACCCAAAACGTGTTTTTTCGTCAGCACCTTCATGATCAAATGCGTTTCGATTGCAATCCATGAGTTTCAAAGATGTTCGACACATACACGCACTTTTTTCTTCCTAGATCATCTTCTTAAGTTTTTTCTTCCTAAGATTACAATCTTGTTATGACTAAAAAGAATATTATCATCATTATCATGAATAAGAAGTTCAACAAGCTATCCATTGCTTATTTGAAGAAAGGTGTAATGAATCAAGGACCATTGGATTTACTAATTTGTTTACGCGTAAGCAATAACTATTTGCACGATAAGCAATAACTATTTGCACGATGAAAAAAGCATGTTATTTTTGTTTTGTTCTGAAGCATCTTAATGATCGTAAAGCCTATGGTATGACACTAACATAATAATAATAATCATCATGTAATTAAAGGTACATCGGATTGTGTTTAATTTCACTAATAAATAGTTTCCTGATGCTATTTCAAATGAATGAGAGTAATTGCATATTAGTGTTTGTATTTATTAGAAAACTTCATTAACGTGGTACAGAAATACTTTGTTTTACAATACGTAGGCATAATAATTATCACAAATATTTATAAAAAAGTGTAGAAAATCGATAAACATTTTACTCTCCGTGTCAAAAATATTTTAACCCATAGTTTCGTGAAAAAGCAGTCTGTTCAGGGATGTATGTAGGAGCTGTAATTTCATTGAACACCATGGTCATTCCAGGTTGATTTAAATATGAAACTACCAGTTTCAATTACCTTTTTTTATACCAACTTCCAGAAATAGATTATTTCGTTTTCTCGTTAATTGTGGTACAAAATAATTGACGCTTTCGTTATTCATCATTCCAGGCAATTGTACGACCAAAATTCTCTTATTTCATGTGAAACGTTAAAACACATTGTAAATCACCTTTGAGGATGAAGCCAGACGAGCAAGTTCATGGTAGAAATCATCATTAAGAGAAGGACGTCCGTATTGATTGCCAGAGTCCTTTATGGTCAGGTCGGTGAGACAAGGCAGAAGACATATAAACCTGGCTAGGTTACGTGATGCTGATGGGTCATTCCCAAGTAGATCACGACCCTCAATACACACCTTCTTTATCTGTTGAGTTGTAGTTCATTTAAGGAAAATCAAATTATTAAATAATCACCCCAACATGTTTTTCTTCAACACCTTCATGATCAAATGCGGTACGATTACAATCCATGTTTTTAAATGGTGATCAACATATACAAGCAATTTTTTCCTAGATCATCTTCTTAATATTTTTCCTTCCTAAGATTACAATCTTGTTATGACTAAAGACAAATTACATTATTATGAATAAGAAGTTCAACATGCTATCCATTTCCTATTTGATGAAAGGTGTAATGAATCAAGGAACATTTACTCTCCGTGTAAATAATGTTGAACCCATAGTTTCATGAATTATAGCAGTCTGTTCGGGGATGCATATAGAAACTGTAATTTCATTAAACACTAAAGTCATTTACAGCTTGATTTAAATATGAAACTATCAGTATCAAACAGATGACGGCAATAACACGCTTCGATGAATTTCTGAGTACCAACTGCCGTAATTAGATTTCGTTTTCTCGTAAATTGTGGTACAAAGTAGTTGACACATTCGTTATCCATCATTCAAGGCAACTGTATAAACAAAAGTCTCTTATTCCATGTGAAACGTTAAAACACATAATTGTAAATCACCTTTGAGGATGAAGCCAGACGAGCAAGTTCGTTGTAGAAATCATCATTAAGAGAATGGCGTTCGTATTGATCGCCAGAGCCCTTTAAGGTCAGGTCGGTGAGACAAGGCAGAAGACTTAGAAACATGGCTAGGTCAAGTGATGCTGATGGGCCATTCTGATGTAGAGTACAACAATCAAGACACACCTTCTCTATCTGTTGAATTGTAGTTCATTTAAGGAAAATCAAATTATCAAATAATCACCCCCAACATGTATTTCTTCAGCAGCGTCATGATCAAATGCGCTACGATTACAATCCATGTTTTCAAATGGTGATCAACCCATACAAGCAATTTTTTCCTAGATCATCTTCTTAATATTTTTCTTCCTAAGATTACAATCTTGATATGAATTTTTTTTTTAAATAGAAAATTCATTATCATGAGTAAGAAATTCAACATGCTATCCATTACTTATTTGAAGAAAGGTGTCATGAATCAAGGAACATTGAATTTACTACTTTATTTACGCGTAAGCAATAATTATTTGCACGATGAGCAATGCATTTTTTTCTTCTTTTCTGGAGCATCTTCATGATCGTATTAAAGGCCTATGATCAGTCTAATATTATAACAATAACACAATAATACTAATCATCACGTAATTCAAATTTCATCGGATTGTGTTTAATTTCACTAATAATGAAATAATTACTTATTTGAAGAAAGGTGTCATGAATCAAGGAACATTGAATTTACTACTTTATTTACGCGTAAGCAATAATTATTTGCACGATGAGCAATGCATTTTTTTCTTCTTTTCAGGAGCATCTTCATGATCGTATTAAAGGCCTATGATCAGTCTAATATTATAAAAATAACACAATAATACTAATCATCACGTAATTCAAATTTCATCGGATTGTGTTTAATTTCACTAATAATGGGTTTCATGATGATATTGCAAATGAATGAGAGTAATCGCCTATTTATGTTTCTATTTATTAGAACAAATTATTCACGTGGTACACGAATAATTTGTTTTGCAATACATAGGCATAATAATTAACACAAATACATGTATTTAAAGCAAGTGTATTGAATCAATGAACATTTACTCTCCGTGTAAATAATGTTTAAACCCATAGTTTCATGAATTATAGCAGTCTGTTCGGGGATGTATATAGACTCTGTAATTTCATTGAGCACCACGGTCATTTACAGGTTGATTTTAATATGAAACTATCAGTCAGATGACGGTAATAACACATTTCGATGAATTTCTGTATACCAACTGCCAGAATTAGATTTCGTTTGGGTCATTCTCATATAGATATAAAACAACTATACACACCTTCTCTATCTGACGAGTTGTAATTCATATAAGGAAAATTACATTATTAATTAGTCACCCAAACATGTTTTTTCTTCAGCACCGTCATGATCAAATGCGCTTCGA